CCATACTAATCCATAATAACTATCTAGGAGTCCTTGGGCGGTTTCTATTCGAGCTTTGAGGTTAAGGGTTTTTGGTTCTGGAGTCTTGAGGCGTTTTGGGGTCGGGTGCGGTCTGGTAAGGGCCTCGGGTGCTTTCTGGGCTGTTCTGAGGCAAAACGGCCATGGTAAGATGAATAGGGCTTTGGATCTGGGTCAGCACATGTTGCCATTCGATACTATTGTTGGTTATTCGGACCTCAATGCTAACCATTATCTTTGGGGTTGCATGTGCAACCAAGGGGGAAGCTTGCTTGATGTCGGTTTTCTGTCCGAAGCCAAACCGTGAACACATTGCCTATCGATCCTTCAGGTCTGAGAAATAGTAGTAAATGTAAACAGTCAGCACAGCATGGCGGTTTCGCTAAAGATAGCAGTCTGCCCTAAACCCTAAACCCTAAACCCTAAACCGGGCAGACGAGCAAGCTGTCAGCTTCGCCGCACGAGGAGCAGCGTCAGCTCAAACGGCGAGCAGAAGCTGCGTTGGGAGCTGGATGTCGTTCTTTCCTTTCCTGGGTTCTTGTTAAGGAATTTAGTTTCAGTTACCATAATAGGGATCTAGAGTAAATCATATGGTTTCCTTATTATGGTAACTTAAATTAAATGCTTAAACAAGAATCCAGTTTTTGGATGGGTTTGCCAAGGGTCACCTAACTGGGTCTTACACGGCGCCTTCTCCTGAAGGAGTCAAATGGCCAGTGAAGTTACTAAAGCTCAAAACCTCGAGCCTCCACCCCAAACCCTGGCCGGTTTCAAGATGGGATCAAGGAAATTTCACAGGCATGGAAAACAAGCAGCTGAACCTTGGTCTATCTTCAAACTGTCCTTTGACGGGCTTCTGGTTCAGGACTTGAAAGCAAGTTGCTGGAGGAAGGTTTAGGGTTTAGGGTTTAGCAAGAAGGCCGTTCAGCAACCTTGTATGTGCTTTGCTTCCAGCAGAGGCTACCTTCAGACGGGTCCCAACGCGTGATCGGAAGAGCAGAGTGACGATGACACCCAAGCGTGTCTGGTAATCGGTTGAGGGCATCTTCACGACTTGTTTCGGAGCAGAAGATCGGCTGACAGGCTCGAGGACCCGGGGAAGCCTGGGCCCGTGAAGCATACCCCTGTCTGGCGGCGGGCAGACTTCTTCCCACTCAGCGCGGCAGACGAGGTCCGCCTGAAGGCCCAGCTCGCTTGGATACGGTTCCGTGAAGCACACTGCGGAGTCCCTTGAGCACGAAAAGTCTTGAAACTGCGCCAGAAAGGACTGGCGAGAGAACCTGGTGATGCGGCAGCTCAAGTTGGGTGTGATCCATGCCCGAACCCCAATCCGAGCCCCAAGCCCCAAAACAGCACTCAACACAAAGATGCACAGCCCATACGCCTGCAATGGCAGCAGCCAAAAAACTTAATATGGGGGCCTAAATGATTACCTATATATATATATATATATTGTTTTGGGCTCGCTTATTGTAGTTGTATCGTAACATACCCCAAAACCCTATCCTAATCATTAAGGCCCCTACATTAAATCGCTCCCGAAGCAGGGCGCCTTCGGACAGTGAGTGGCGCTTTTCAGTTTCACCCACCTCAAGAAAGCCCGAAACCCTAAACCCTAAACCCTAAACACTAAAACCCTAAACCCTAAACCCTAAACTCATCTCCGCGAAGAAGCCCTGACAAGCCCGAAGCTGAAACCCACATTGTGGGGTTTAGGGTTGATAGGGTTGATAGGGTTTATAGGGTTTGTAGGGTTTATAGGGTTTTTATAGGGTTTATAGAGTTTATAGGGTTTGTAGGGTTGATAGGGGTTGTAGAGGGTTTTGTAGGGTTTATAGAGTTTAGAGGGGATTATATAGGGTTCGTAGGGTTTATAGGTTTTTTTTGGGTTTGTAGGGTTTATAGGGTTTATATAGGGTTTTTTGGGTTTGTAGGGTTTGGTAGGGTTTGTAGGGTTTATAGGGTTGATAGTGTTTTTAGGGTTTATAGGGTTTAGGGTTTGGGGTCTTGATGTAGGAATTTGGACCAAAGGCAGATGCGGTGTTGTCTGGATGTTCGGATCTCCAACTTACCTCCAAGGCTGGATCGTTCGAGGCTTAAGGACCCTGAGCCCTCAAGCCTCAATCCCCAGATGGCTTGGCCCGTACATTAAGGGTTAGGGGTTTAGGGTTTAGGGTCTATTTAGGGTTTAGGGTTTAGGGTTTAGGGTTTAGGGTATTCAGCTCTCAGCACCCAAACCGTTTGACGCATGCGTTAGCTCAGACAGCGTTCGGCAGACGAGGAAGACTCGTGCTAAATGCTTCTTGACGCACCGAGGACCGGTGATGGTATTATCGGGGCCTGAATTATTACCTACATTATTCTGGGGGTTCCTTATTATAACTATAGTAGAGTATATACCCTAAAACCCTATTCTAATTCTTAAGGCCCCTACAGTAGTTGTGCCGGCATTATGGTCTTCAGGTTGAGCACGCTCCTCTGTGCACATACTCCTAGGTAGTATTAGGGAGACCCCTTTAAGGGGACCCTTCTTAACCCTACTTATGGCTCTCTTAAAAGGGACCTTATTCAGAGGGTCTATATCTCCAAGGGTCCCCCTGATCCTAACTCCTACATACTAGCAAAGTGTTTCCATCAGGGGGGTTTGGGGAGTAGAGCGTATCCTAGTTTTGGAGAGCCTGAGGATAATAGACTCCAAGCTGCATCGGGGGATTGCCGAAACGAACAGGGCACTAGGAGGTTTAGGCTTCAGGGATTAGTATCCCTAAACCCTAAACCCTGCACCCTAAACCCTACACCCTAAACGAACCCTAAACTTTCGATCAGATGCTGTGCAGTTCTGCGTTGGCTTGTAGAAACGGATGCGTGTGCCTGTCTACTCCTCGGGGATCTTGTTCTGAGTTTGCAGGTTTCGGGTTTAGGGTTCAGGATTTAGGGTTTAGGGTTTGGGGTTTAGGATTTAGGATTTGGGGTTGAGGGTTCTAGGGTTTAAGGTTTAGGGTTGAGGGTTTAGGGTTTAGGGTTTGGGGTTTGGGGTTGAGGGTGAAAGGGCTTCGGGTTTAGGGTTCAGGGTTGAGGGTTGAGGATTGAGGGTTTAGGGTTCAGGGTTTTTGGTTTGGGGTTTAGGATTTCGAGCTGAGGGTTCTGCGCGCGATCCTCCGCTGGGCCCAAGAGAGGGGAACGCCAATCGGTGCACCCAGCCCCTGCAGCGGGCAAAAACCCTTTCAACGAAGCTTTCGAGCCAGGTTCCTTGGGTTAGGGTTTGGGGTTGCAGGGTTTAGGGTCAGGGTGGAGGTTCAGGGTTAGGGTTGTGGGGTTGTGGGGTGTGGGGTTAGGGTTTGGGGTTTGGGCTTTTGGGTCTAAAGGGTCTCGATTTGGGGCTCAGGGTTAGGATTTGGGCACACTTGGGGAGGAAAGAACTACTTGTCACCCCCGATCAAGGTATTTGTTAGCCCGACTTGGAACGGTTTTCCCGAAACCCTAAACCCTAAACCCTGCTTATTGCAGGGTTCCGTAAGAGTGCTGTTCTCATGTGGGGACCCACGATGGGCTCCCATGGTAGGAACACCTTCCTTTCCTTGGAGTTCGGGTTTCGGCGTCGAGAATGGTTGTGGGCTTCAGAGTTCGCAGTTGAGCTTTCGAGGTCTACCGGTTTGGCGTACAAGGACCCATAAGGGTTTATAGAGGGCTTCTATAAGGGAACTGTAAGGGTAGTTCTCTAAATCAGGGTCCGATTTTGAGCGTTTAGGAAATTCCAGGATTCAGTGTTAGCAGTGAGGACGACTCGGGACTTAGAGCACGGGTTTAGGGTTTAGGGTCCTGCTTGCTACAAGTGTTGTCATTGAAACCCTAAACTCGCTGAAGCCACGATTCCCTGGAACGTTTACTCACTAATTAAGCTCTGAAATCCTAAGCTCTAATGGTAGGTGCCCGTATAGAAGACCGACTGATGTCTGTTGATAGAGTAGAAGCTTGAATAATGCATAATACTGTTCCTTAGGGTTCCTTTATATTATACACGGCAGAATATAACCCCCTCGTCGAACAATTACCGCCTCTATGAAAACTCTTCCATGCCCCTTCCTTGATGCTGAGTCCAGTGATCTGGTGATAAGAAGGAACCGATGCTGATGATCATCATAAGCACTACTTGAGTCAGCAAAAAGCATATCATATAGGGACTTACACAAGTTTCAATATCATTACATCCTTGAGGGTTCCTGGTGAGTTTCATGCGTAGGGGATCTTTCTTCAAGGCAACATGTTTCTGCATGTTTTTCGGACGGAACGAGTCTGAAGTTTTCTGGATCGAGGTTCATGAGCAGGGCCCTCTTAGGCGCGTCGTCCGCGTCGTCCGTTGGACTTCTCGTGCATTTGCTGCACCACTTTGCCGCCCCTCCGGAGGGCCCCGTTCCCTACCCGGACTTCTCTTGCCCCGTGTGCTTCGACGGCGTCCACTGGCCTAGTGTGGGGTTAGGGGTGGTCATAGGGTTTGCGGTTTGGCCAGGCTTGGAGCTGCTGCTTTTTCTACGTGCCTTCCTTCTTCAGCTTGCCGCCTCCCGCCTTCAAAGCCGATCCCCTTTCTCTTACCGCCTCATTTCATGAGCCTTGCTGGCCGTGTCTCTGCCCTTGAACGAGAAGTGGCCGAACTTCGTCGAGTCGTCGAACGGCTCTCTCTGCTTCTGGAAGAGTCTGAGGCCTCTCAGTACTCTGTTGTGCAAAGCCAATCCGCAGGTGCCTCCGCCCAGGTTCCTAGGTCTTTAAACTTTGGGTCGCCGGCCCGCTCTGCTGCCGCCTCCTCTGCCACGCCTGCTTCTTCAGGACAGGCTCCTCTCTCCCCTCGGAGCCGGGGTGCTGCTTGCCGAGAGATCGGGTTGTTTCTGCGCAGGTGCCTTAGCGGCGAGCACCGGGGTCCTTCAGGGAGGGATCGTCTTCCTTCAGGGTCCAGGTTTTGGATTGTGGCTCGCTCCCTTCGGGGCGAGGATTTCAACCCCGTGCGAGTCTACTCGCGCTTTGCGGATTGCAAGGCCCTGGTCAAGCTTGGCAGCGACCTGGGGGATAGTGTTTGTGTGGGCTTGCCGTCGCGCGGCGACGTGATAGCCGTAGCTGCGGCTGCTGGGTTGTCTTTGCCCAGCCAGTGGTGAGATGGCTTTTGTGCCTGACGAGGAGACGGTGGACGGAGATCCTCTGACTGCCAGGGACGCCCTTGCTGCCGGTGACGGGTTCGAAGACGCCGTGTGCCCTCTGGCCGTGCTCCGATGCGGTGTCGACGATGCAGGCCAGGAGGTCTTAGTCCAGGGCCTTCTTGTCAAGGAGGTCGAGGGCAGGCTGGTGCTGGCAATCCCGGCCAGCGCATGGCACAAGAAGGTGAACAGGCGCACTTTGCCAAAGGGTTTTATGACGAAGGTCGGCGCAGCGGAGGTGTTGGCCTGTGCTGCTTCTTCCCGGAGCGTTCCCGAGGACGATGCTGTGTTGAGAGTTTGGTTTGGGCTGGTCGAGCCGTCCTACGAAGCCGCCATCGAGTTCTCCGACGAGGCTCCTTCAGTTGCCTTCGGTGCTCTTGAGAACGGCGAGGCTGCCCTCCCTTTCGTGCCGGCTCTGGTCGCAGCCGTCTCCGACCACTACACCTTTGCCTCCGCCGAGAGCGGCCAGCCGGCGGTCCACAAAGATGCTCTCAGCGCCAGGCTCGACCGACTCGAGCGGCTCTTGGGCGCTGCAATCCCCTCAGGCTCCCAGGCAGGTCGCGCAGGTGCAAAGGCAAAGGCAAAGGTCTCAGCGAAGGCTGCCGCGCGGGCTGCCGTGCCTGCCCCCTCAGTCGACCCGGCCGTGCTTCTGGCTGCCCGTGCTGCTGGTGTGCCCGATGGCACTCTGTCACAGTTCCAAAGGCTGTTGGGGTCCTCCGCTGTGGGGCGAATGCAGCCCGAACCCTTTGCGACGGCTCGGGCCGACCCGCTGCAGGAGTCGGAGGACGAAGCCGAGGAGGGCGCTCTTCCGCAGGAGGTCGCCGAAGGAGGTGTTGGTGCGCTGCGGCCGCCCGCGGGCGATTTTGCTCCCCAAGGTTCCCAGGCAGAGGCGTTTGCGGCAGCTATGTTCAGGATGATGGAGAGCTACTCGAGGAGCCAAGCTGCGAAGACCTCCCCCCTCGAACGGGCCTTGGAAGGCGCAGCTGGGTCAGCCGATCCTTCAGGGATGCCCTCTACTCGGCGCAATGCCGCCGCCCGGCGCGCTCTCAGGGAAGCTCTTGCAGTCAGCCCAGCCGACGTTGCGGCAACCGTGGAGCGCTTGATGATCGAAGACTTGACTTCCTCAGCGCCGGGCGCCGGGCTCGAACAACAGACCTCGGCTCGGGCCTGGGTCGAGCACAAGTCAAGGATAGGGGGGTATCCAACTGCTATGCACATGGCTTGGGGGGCCGCGGGTGCCTTAGACGCTTTGAAGGCCGGGCTCGTGGACCAGGCCCGGGCCAGGCTCTTTCTGATGATCCTGCAGTTAGATCAAATGAGCTGCGACAAGGGCAGCTGGGTGCTCGCGGCGGATCTTTCGCTGGAACTTGCTCCTCCCGCCCACGTGTTCCGCCAGAGAGATCAGAGCTCGGGCGCGTCTCAGGTTCCTAGATCCGAGGTGGGCAGAAATCTCCCTGACCCACCTGCGGGAACAGATGGACTTCAGCGAGAGGCGCCTCAAGCTCAACAGGGGCCAGCCGGCCGGTGCTCCGAGCGGAGACCAGACATCGGACCCGCCTCCCGAAGGGGGGCAAGCAAGCAATGCCGCTCGACCGCCGCGCAGGCCGAAGAACCCGACCTGAAAACGTGCATGTCGCAGCCCGGGGTTTGTGAGCCCGGCCTCCGCGCTAACGGGCCGACCCGTGTGCCTGGTGACCGGGCTCCTGATTTCAATTTGCCCGGCCTGCTGAATTCTCTTCCGCGCCTCATGCTTTCAAAAGGGGGCCCTTTTTCCCGTTTTCTCCGCAGCATGCTCGACGAGGGGCAGCAACTTGCCTCTACACCTTTTGTCTGGCCGCTTCCGCTGCCCAACCCTGAAGTTTTCCGAGCGCCGAAGGGCCGAAACTCTTGGCAGCTGAAGCTGCTCAACCTTTGTGTGGCCGCCCTTTCGTGGTTGCACTTGGGGAAGCCCGTTCGTGCACCGACCGAAATCAGGGTCGGGGCCAAGCTCAACAGGCGCCAAGCCGAAACAGTGCAGCGCCTTCGTGCCGCGATTTTTGGTGATGTTTTGCCTTTAAGGTTTTCTGCTCCCGATCTTGGCCGGCACGCTGCCAAGGTCGAGAGCCATTTCGAGACTCTGGGTGCCCTCGGCCGAGCCGCTTCTTCTTTGGCCTCAGCTTACGGAGGGTACCTAGGACCGCCTGCCGCCTCTCAACCGCATGATGCTGTGGCCGCTCCGGCCCTTGGTGTGCTGCCGGGGCCCCCTGCCACAAACGCAAAGCCGATACAGGCCTCAAGGATCAAGCTGCCCGAGCCTCCTAGGTTTGACCCTAAGCCCTACCTCGACCCCGCCACTGCCGCTCAGTTCGAGGACCCTCTTGCCTATGCTAGAGCACCCGAGTTGGGCGAGTCGCCCCCGGCCGTGCGGATCCTTGCCCGCTTGGAAGAGAAGCTCTTGCTCTACAGGGCACTTGCGGATTCTGACAGGCTGGTGATCGCGCCTCACCCGCCGGGCCGTGAGCGTTTCGGCGCTGGCTTGTTTTGCGTGCCGAAGTCTGCTGAGAAGGACAGGTTGATCTTTGACTCGCGCCCTGCAAACCAGCTTGAAGCCTGGCCCTCAAGGTGGACTAAGACCCTTGCCTCGGCGGCGGCTGTGTGCGGCATCGTTCTCCGGCAGGACGAAACTTTGCTTATGAGTGGGAGTGACCTCAAGGACTGCTTTTACCAGTTCCGTGCCCCTGCGGGCCGCGTCAGGAGAAACGTCCTGGCCGACACTCTGACTCCCGAGCAGGTAGGCTTTGTCTTCAGGCTGTCGAAGGAGGCGGTTCGAGACCTCGGGCCCTATACGACTGTCGCTTTCTCCTCGCTTGCTATGGGCGACAGCTCGGCTTGCGAGTTTGCTCAATGTGCCCATCTGGGCGTGGTGTCGCAGGGATCTGCTCTCTTCCCGGGGGAGCTTCTTGTTCATGCGTGCGCCCCCCCCCGTGGGCTCTTGAGTGTCGGCCTTGTCATCGACGACTTGGTCTTCCTTGAAAGGGTGCTGTCTTCAGACGTTGGCCGGATCAGGAGCGGCGAGCTTAAGTCGCTCGGGCATGCTCGGCTCGATGCCGCCCTCTCGGCCTACGACGCGGCCCCTTTAGCTGTTAGCCCCGACAAGGTCTTTCACGATTGCGACCGGGCTTCCTTTTGGGGCATAACTGTGCATGGCCGCTCCGGCTGGGTCAGGCCTAATCCGGACCGCCTGTGGGCACTCGTTCTGGTGACGTCGCGGATCGTGCAGCTTGGGCTGTGCACAGCTCAGCTTCTCGAAAGTGTCGTGGGGTCGTGGCTGTCGATTTTCCTGCTTCGGCGCCGGCTGCTTGCCGCAATGGATCATGTCTTCGCTGCGGCCCGCGGCCTCGCCCCAAACGCAATCATTCGGCTCTCGCCCGAGCTCTCCGCCGAGCTCTGTTCTTTTGTGCTGCTTGGGCCGCTTGCTGCTGTGTGCCTGAGGGCCCCTGTCGATCCCCATGTGACCGCGACCGACGCTTCCTCTACGTGGCAAGCTGCCGTGCGTGCTCCGATTCCTGAGCCGGCCGCGTCGGAGGGTGTGCGCCAGTGCATACAGAAAGGAGCCTGGACCCGGCTTCTCGCAGAGCCTGCCGCTTGGCTCCGGGAAAAGGGCCTTCTTGCTCTTGAGCTCGAGCTCCCTGACTCAGAGGTTTACTCTGCGCCTCCTCTGTACATTGGCCTTGCGCGCTATCCCTCCTATAGCGAGTGCTGGCGGCGGGAATACAGGACCCGGGTGCACATAAACATTGGAGAGCTGGAAGCCTACTTGCGGGAAGAACGGCGGGCTGGGGCTAGGAGACCTAGTTGCCGGCACCTTTTCGGCCTCGACAGCCAGGTTTGCCTGGGAGCGCTTTGCAAGGGGAGATCAGCCAGCCCGGCTTTGAACGGTTTGCTTTCGCGGAGCATCGCGCCTTACATAGGGTATCAGATGTTGCCCCACCACATCTTTTTCCCCTCGGCCGAGAACCCTGCCGATGATCCCACCAGGTTTCAGCAAGTAAGGGCCCCCACGACCCCTGCTGCCGGCTGGTGGCAATCCCTGTGTCTAGGTGACCCTTCGCCGCTTCAGCACGAAACCCAGCGGGCCGGTTTTGCCCTGGACGGGAGCTCCTTCGAGCAGAGCCAGATCTACGAGCTCGCGGGCAAGGGGTTTGAGCTGTTTAGGAGCAAAGGTTCGCTTGACCGGGATTTGTACTATAAGCCTTGGCGGCAGAGACGGCTCTCTGGCATTCCGGCTGGCGGCCCCCGTCTTGTGGCCCCTCGGAAAAAGGGCGGGCGCTGCGACGCTCTGCCCGCTCACGTGACCTCAAGCCTCGAGGCCTGGCCCGCACGGCTCTTTGTCTACACAGGCCCCTCTCTTCAGTTCTCTGCTCCAGGTGGACTTGTTCTGTACTCCGGGCGCGGAGGCTTTGCGCGGGCTCTTGCCGGTCATGGCTGCCCTTGGGTGCTCACTATCAACCCTGGCCGATCTGCAGGTGAAGATCTCCGTGATCCTTTGCTACGGCAGCGGCTCTTTGAGCTAGTGAAGTGTGGGGCCTTTCGGGTCGTGCTTGCTTCTCCGCCCGTCGGCTCTTTCAGCCCTGCTGCGCGGCCTGCTGCTCGGACGCGAGCTCACCCTCAGGGCCTCCCTTCCCTTCAGCTTCGCCTCCGCGAGAAAGTGAGCACTGAGAACAGCTTGGCCTCCTGGATTCTGGCACTGACCTGTGCTGCCGGGGCATCTGGGGCCTCTTGGTGGGTTGATCACCCCGACTCTTCCCTTATGTGGGCCCTTCCTGGCTTCGAGGCCTTTGCCTCTTCGGCTGATTCATCGGTTGTGCGTGTGGACCTTTGCCGCTTCGGCTGTGCCTGGCGTAAACGCACCCGCCTCGCGACAAATAGCTTGTGTGCTGGAGCCAGGCTCCTTTGTGCCAAAAAGGGGCATTTGCGTCTGTGGGGGTATTCGAAAGCTCATGGTTTGCCGTGGACTCTCGTTGCCCAGCACCCTCCTCGTGGACTTTGCCAGCTGATCGCCCTTGCCTCCTGTTCACAGGCGGGCTGGTGCGAGGACCGCTGCCTGGATTTGGCTGCTTGCGCCAAGCTGCCCAACTGTTGTCGCATCGGGGAGGCTGCGCATCCTGGGCCCCGTCGCCCTTCTGCTCGGCCGTTCCTCCCTGGCGGCCTCTCTGCGGCTCCTCTGCACTCTGCTGCCTCTGCGCGTCTGGGTCACTCTGCTTGGCTCGGCTTCCTCAGCTGGGTCCGTGCCTTCGTGTCCGAGGACCCTTTGCCTTCGTTCGTTTCGTGCCCTCTGCTCCTCGCCATGGCCCTCCGCGCTTACGGCGACTACCTCTACCAGGCGAACGGCTCTCTGCAGAACTTTCGTTACACTGTGGTCGCTGCGCAACGTCTGTCCTGGAACATGCGCGGCCAACTCGGCCCAGCCTGGGAAATGGTATCGCGATGGGAACGCTTGCAGCCTGTGGAACACCGGACGCCCGTCCCTGAAGTGGTTATAAAAGCGTTGGTGAGTCTTGCCTGGTGCCTTGGCATGCGGCGTTGGGCAGCCGTGACTCTCATCGCTTTCTACGGACTGGCCAGGATCGGGGAGGTGCTCAAGGTGGACCGTCGGAGCCTGCTCCTGCCGGACGACCACTTGGGCGGCTTCTACGTTGCCTTCGTGAAACTGACAGAGTCTAAGACTGCAGGCCGGGGACGGCCGCGGGTGCAACACCTTCGGATCGACTACGAGGTCTCTGTGAGCCTGATTCAGCTTGCCACCTCCGGCCTCGCTTCCGATGACAAGCTCTACCCTTTTGGCCCCGCTGCCTATCGCAGCAGGTGGGACAAGCTGATGGACGTCTTAGGCCTCCATGGGAACGCATTGCTCCCTGGAGGGCTCCGCGGTGGCGGCGCAGTGTGGGCATACCATCGAGGTCTGCCAATAAGTGACATCCAATGGAGGATGAGGCTAAAGAGCCAGAGCACCCTTGAACATTACCTTCAAGAAGTCTCTGCCTTGAACTCGTTGCTTGAGGCGGGCCCTGACTCACGAGCTCGTCTGCAGCAGGTGGCCTCTGTGTTCGTCCACTTGGTGCACTCTTCTTGAGGTGGTGGTTTTCTTGTCTCGAACTGCTGCTGCCGAGCTTCGGCAAACGAGCCCTGCAACGCTGCTTGCACGCGTGGCTCTTCGTGACGGCCGGTGCTTCCACATGGGCGGTTCTGCAGCGAAGTTTTTCTCGGTGCTCTTCCCGCTTCAGCTTTGTCTTGGCGGCTCCGAGGAGAGCTCTCTTTTAGTGCTTCGTCTGCAGGCTGCACTCTGTGTGACTTACGGTACCGAGCAGCGGTAAAAGACTGAGCAGCAGGGAGTGTAGGAACCACAAACATGTTTCTGCATGTTTTTCGGACGGAACGAGTCTGAAGTTTTCTGGCCCGCCCTCCCGCCCGGCTGAAAGCCTGGTTCTGCAGCGAAGTTTTTCTCGGTNNAGGGAGTGTAGGAACCACAAACATGTACATGTGCATGTCTTTTGGTTAGCATGATAAACAGTGTTAGCATAATTGCAGCTAGTCTTCTTATTATCTTTCGTTTCACGGTTAAGATTATTTTAAAAATCCAGACAAGCACACTCACACACACACACAAAGACATGTGTA